ACAGATGGTAAAATCAAATAAAAAATATTTGAGACATTTTCAAAGTGAACTGAACCAAAGTTCATGAAAGCAACGATTGCATACTATGTGTTTTTTAGGAGGAAAGTAAGAGATAAATAATAAAGAAGTTGATCACATTTCACTGAGACACAATAAATGGAAAGATGGTGAAATTGTGTCTGGTTGTAAATTACAGTCAGTGAATCAACAGTAATGACACAGGAAGAATTGATGAGTCATCGTTAACTGACGGTATCTGCTCTGTTGTGTCATATTGTACACAAACACACACAGTGGGTTGTGTTGAGTGTGACTACGTGAAGTGTGTTCTTCTCTGCAGGTCTGCTGGGACCCACACTGAGGGCAGAGGAGGGCGAGACCATCGTCGTCACTTTCAAGAACATGGCGACCACATCGCACAGCATCCACCCACACGGGGTCGCTTACGGGAAGCAGTCAGAGGGTGGGTGTGCGTTAACTCAGCTGCAGATGACTCCGGCGGCTGCGGTGACCCCGGAGACACCACGGTACCTCAGAGTCGTGGCGGGAGCTCATCATGTTACTCATTCCAATAATCACACAGGATTGACCAACACAACAAACAACGCTGTTTGTCTTTTTCTGAAATATTAACCAGGACAGGCCGGTTATCAAAGCGGACGGTACTGAAGTCCAACAGGGCACTTTGTCTGAGCCGATGGAAATCACTGTCTGACTTTATATCAAGAGAGAAAAAGAGAGAGACGTGACCGGCACCGGGGGTTCAGGAAATTGAGACTAAATGTTCCTTAATTTGCTGAAAGTCAAAGTGCAGGATTCAAAATTAAAGAACAGCTTGAGGGAAGCTCTTCTTTAATTCTTCATTAGTTTGGGGATTTAAGGAAAATGTCACAAATGAAATGAAGAAAGTCTGTAAACATCCGCAGACCCCTGCACAGTGATGACATGTCCTGGAGCTCACAGGCTGTCGGGTGGGGGTTCACCCCTGGACAGTGATTCGTTGGTTTGTTGCTGTGTCTGGTGGACGATGTGATGTGGATCAGGGAACAACTCAATACATTTTGGTGCAGATCCAGGAATTCTTCTTATCTTTCCCAATGAAGAATTCCTGGATCTTGACGATCTGTGAGTTGAACTTAAAGGACCGTCTCCCTGGCGGAGCATTGAACTCGTTTTTCTCTTGTTCAAACTGCATTTCCTTCTCATTCGGTTTGCAGGAGCCCACTACTTTGACAACACGTCACAGAAAGAGAAAGAGGACGACATCGTGCAGCCGAACAATGAACACGTCTACTACTGGGAGGTGACGTCAGACGTTTCTCCGCAGTCACACGACCCCACCTGTCTCACCTACACCTACATCTCCCACCAAGACGTCGTGAACGACTTCAACTCCGGCCTCATCGGCACGCTGCTCGTCTGCAAACCTGGTGAGAAACACGAAGCACCGCATGTGAACCGCTCTGGAGTTCACTGGGTCGATGCTCTTCATCCCTCGGTCCCCCTGTTCTCTCTTTCAGGAAGCCTGGACGAGTCAGGGCAGCAGATTGGCGTCCACCAGGAGTATGTGTTCCTCTTTGGGGTTTTTGATGAGAAGGAGAGCAAGTACAAACAAAACGGCCACGCCTCAGACAACCACGTCAAATACACCATCAACGGATACACCAAGGGATCACTGCCAGGTCCGTCAGTCGCTCAGAGCGTCAGTCAAACTGTCTGTTATTCTGTTCTTCTTCATCTGTAGCAACAAATTACCTTTGACCAAGTTATGGAAGTAAAAACATCAACTTTGTCTGTTTTCATTTACTCGACTGCAGGTCAGAGGGAAGCAGTGTTTTTACAGATGGAGTTATAAGATGATATGCAGATAACATCTCATAGTTTGTTGGATTATTGTTGAACAGATTAAACTCCTCAGGCTCTCGTCCACATGCACAGTAAAGTCAATGAAAACAAACTAAAGCAGAAGAATCTCACTGAGCAGGCTCACAATGTGAATCCGATGTTTCTTCCACTGCTGCTTGTGTGTACAGATGTGTAGCACATGTGTGTAGGTGAAAAACAAAGATGAAACACACACAGTGACCAGCAGCTTCCTGTTTTCCCTCCAGATGTGAGTGTGTGCGCTCACGCCTCCGTGAGTCTGCACCTGGTGGGCATGAGCTCGGAGCCGGAGGTTTTCTCGGTGCACATGAACGGGCAGGTGCTGCAGCAGACCGGCCACCGAGTGTCATCAGTGGGCCTGATCAGCGGCTCCACCGCCACTGCCAGATTGGTGGCCGTCCACACAGGCCGCTGGCTGCTCTCGTCACACACCAGCAAACACATTGAAGGTTGTCTCTCTGCACTGGGATGAATGGATCCTCTGTCCACCACACATGTTACCAGTGGGTCTAAATTTAAATTTCCTGCTCTTGCAGCTGGCATGCACGGTTTCGTGGATGTGAAGACGTGCGACGGCTTCCAAGCTCCCCGCCGAAGCCTGACTATGGCACAAAGAAAAGAAAGGAGGGAGTGGACATACTTCATAGCTGCTGAGGAAATTGTCTGGGACTATGCACCGGACATGCACCAACACGTCGATGAGTACGACTTTAAAACGCTGATCAAACATCCTCTGTGTTTGATTTAAGGTCACACTGCCGTGCTTTCATTCATGAACTGAACGATATGATACAGCTGCTGATTAGTGCGTTAAATCTCTTCTCTCTGCTGCAGTCCCAAAGCTCCAGTTCTATCTGAGCTTAAACAAAAACATCAAAAACACTTTGTTCACGTCAAAGATGAAATAAAACCTCATATCTCTTTGTGCAGGGACTTCCAGCTCCAGTACTTGACGCAGTCACCGACACGCATAGGTAAGAAGTACAAGAAGGCCGTGTACACGCTGTACAAGAACGCGTCATTCACAGAGAGGATGGAGAACAAGCAAAGGAGAAATGAGCTTGGGATCCTGGGTCCAGCGATCAGAGCGCAAATCAGAGACATTATCACGGTGAGATCATGTTCGTTTAATGTTAAAGCTGCTTTCTAGTTTAAAAATAAAATTTAAAGAGCTTCACTCAACAGAACGCTTCACAAAACACAAGAGCTCAGGAAATGTTCTGATCTTCTTTGAGAATTTAAACTCAGACAGTGACACTGTATATGAAATGATTAAATAACAGAGGAATTGTATTCCTCTTAATGAAGCCCCTCACTCGTTCTGCTCACAGGTTTGTTTCTCTATTTCTTTTCTTAAAGTGGTTGAAAAAACTTGTTCTGCACATTAAACCACATTTGAATTCACTAGATCCAGACTTTAATTTTCAGTTTTTTCTTCAAGACCATTGAATTCTGAGAGAAAAACCAAGAAACTTTCCACCTGAAAGTCAAACAAATGAAACCTTCTGCACTTTCTACTCTGTTTTAAACATTATCAAAGTTAAGATTGTTGACGGACTATCTGTCCTCACACGTCCTCCCGTCCTCGTACAGATTGTTTTTAAGAACATGGCGTCCAGACCCTACAGCATCTATCCACATGGTCTGACCATCATGAAGTCAGAGGAGGGAGTCAACTACCCAGAAGGAGGTAGAGTCTCTTCTCACTTATCACTAATTAGCGACGATGAACTGTATCTAACGGGGTACTTTGTGATGCGGTTGCCAGGCAACTATTCCCACGGCGTTCAGCCAGGTGAGACGCACACCTACGTCTGGAATGTGATGGAGGAGGACGAGCCTTTGGACGGGGACTCTCGATGTCTGACGCGGATGTACCACAGCGCAGTGGACGCACCACGAGACATCGCATCAGGACTGATCGGACCGATCCTGATCTGCAAGAGTCACTCGCTCAACGTCAGGAACATGCAGGTAAAACACCGGTGGGCAGCGATGGTGGAGCGGTCGTGTTCCCCAGAGGATAAATCCTCATGACTCTCATTCCCCTCTGACAATTCTTTCACCATGAGTTTGACATATTAAATATTGATTCAGATTCCTGCTCCTTCCAGAAATAACTTCTGTGATCCACTGACCTTCCATCTGGCGCCATCATCAGGACACAGATTCTATTTTCTATAATAATTTGGTTCAGTTCATTTCAGATTATCTCCAAAATCAATGACACCGCCAACAACCCGTAGCTGCATTTTGTGTTTCGTGCTAATTATCAAATGTTATCAACAGCATCGAAGTCCAAACTAAACTAAAAGGAAAATGTTCTATAAAAGTAAACGGATGGATGAAGGTTTCGGTTCGTTTCTCCAGTTGAAAGCAGACAAGGAGCAACACGCCATGTTCGCTGTGTTCGATGAAAACAAGAGCTGGTACCTGGATGACAACATTGGTCAAAACTGTGACCGGACCAGAGTCAACAAGGCCGACCCCGTCTTTTACAAATCCAATGTCATGCACAGTAAGTTTTTCTTTAATCAAATTAGAGATTCAACAAAAGCTCATCAGGACATTGAGCCGCTTCATGCAGCTGCACTGCATTGACTGATGTTGACGTACATTTCAGCCATTAACGGTTACATGTTTGAGAGTGGTCCGCTCTTGGGCTTCTGCAATGGCGAGATAGCGACATGGCACGTGTCGAGCATCGGAGCGCAGGACTACATCCAGACAGCTACGTTCTATGGTCATACGTTCGAGTTGAACGAGCGGACAGAGGACTTCCTCAGCCTCTACCCCATGACGGGAGAAACCATCACCATGAACATGGACAACATTGGTCAGTCACAGCTTAGACTGTCTTTTTATGTCAAACTGTGTCCTTGTAAAGTAAAAGCAGAAAGTCAACATACGTGTATATCTGTGATGAATAAAGAAAAGGTCAGAGGAGACTATTGGAAGTTCCAAAGTGCTTAGTTACCGTAGGCAAGGAGGTTATGTCTATATATCATATATGACTGATATGAAGTGTGGTTCCATAAGGAGACTGTTCGGTCTTATTCTAGTAAATGTCGTGTTTGGATGATCTTTGTGTGTCTCTCCTCAGGTGTCTGGCTCCTGGCTTCCCTGAACTCTCATGAGACGACCAAAGGAATGCGGGTGAAGTTCCAGGATGTTGAGTGCTATCGCGACTACCAGTACGAATACAGTGATTACGACGATAAGGTGTCGCACACCGTGTGGAACCCTCAGAGCCTGGACGACATCAAGAAGGAAGAGGAGCAGCCGATGCTTGAAAAGAAATGGCAATTGGAGACGGACACTTACACAGACACATTTGCAGAAGAGTGGGGTCTCAGGTCTCTGAAAAACCAGACGACCAACGACATGGAGAAGTTGGACCTCTCTTTCCTCGACTACGACGCCATTGACGTGCCCAACGGAGATATAAATATCGACGTGAACTTCACCGGGAGAAAGAGTGAAAACGACACGTCTGTTCCAAAACCAAACACAATGAATGAGACATTATTTTCAAATCGTGACGAGGCCAATGGAGTGGACCTCGCAGCGGTTGATTTTCTGAACCAAAGCACGAGTGAGAATACGACACATACACAGAACACAAGTGCAGCATTCATTTCCAACAGTTCTTCCTCACTGGAAACAGAGAACACAACCGTCTCTAGTTTAACCCTAAAGAACGACAGTATAACTACAAATAGCAGCGTTTCTCAAAATGCTTCAAATCCTGATAATGATTCTGTGTCGGACTCGAAGAGCAAAGTCCCCAACGCTGCGGCATTATCAGGCGCCGAAAATGTTTCTGCAGAGATTATAAACCTGAGAGTAACTGCTAATATAACAGTAACAGCACAAGACACTACAAACGTTACAGCAACACAACAAGAAACTACAAACGTTACAGCAACACAACAAGAAACTACAAACGTTACAGCAACACAACAAGAAACTAC